AATCATCTCTTGCTTATCATTTGCACAACATCCATGCACATTCAAACATTCCACTTTGACAGTTTTCTTTTTTCTTTTTAGTAGGATATATGGGAAAAAGGGTTACTAGCCCATTGTTCCCGGCATTTTAGTTTGACTTTTCCAACACGCATGGCTTATGGAGGAAAGATTCTTATTCCACTTCTCCATGGATATGAAAGGTAAAGCAATAAGAACAAGAACTATTAAGATAAAATCAAAGAAAACTCAGATGAGTGTGTATACAATAAACATGAACATGTATGTGTAGTGTGATGTAAGCGTAAGTAGAAGTAGCAAGACGTACCTGAAATCTTGCATGTTTATGAGACAGAAAAAAGATGCCAGCAATCCTACCCTCATGTAAAACAAATACAGGCTTCCTTTTTACACTCACTGGGTAAGACGGTAGTACCTCCCCGAATGGTTGCTGTCTACCAACCTACTACCTACCGGTGTTGTAATAATTAAATCATATACATATTGAATTCCCATAAAACAGACCAGGGTGTGTGGGGTAGCCTTACCCGTTCTCAGGAAAATTAGCAAAAATTAATTATTTCCACTACTTTGAGCCCAATTTCAAGCTACTCTGGTCTTGAAACCAACCAAAATCATCTCGATTTCAGTGCTATTTTAAACCAAACGCATGGTCAATGTTTTGTTTTCCCCTCACACATCAAGTGGGGCAGAATTTTTTTTTATACTGTGCACACTCACTTCAGACTCATTCTCTCATATCTAGGCCAAAATTTACTGACTACAGCTCATCTGAACGAGTCAAGCACATGACACAGAACTATGTGAGGGGACCCTCCCTGGCCTCAATGACATAGTTCTATGTGATGACCACTGACAGGGTCAGGCAGGTGTGTGAGGGTAATGACTTTCCTTCCCTCCACATGTTAGCCTTATTAGTGCCAAGGAGATTTAAGGAGTTCATCAAGAGGAATGGTAATACTAGTCGAGGTGAGGAACACGTACATATTTCAGTAGTATTATATTCTAAAAACAATAGGTTATGGTGAGCAGTTTCATTTTCTCTCATGAGTGTGCATATGAATGATGCCTATGGCATACTTGCTTCTATTTCTGCAAATTTCCTGGGCATAATATTCAAACTTATTTTCTTTTTTAATCTGTGCCAATGCCATCTAAGGTATCTTCCATTTCTTCTGTGTGTTTACACATATGTACTGTGATTTATGATACTCCCCTCTGTTAGTAGGGGCTTCAGTATAATTTTTCCCAACTTTTGACTGTTTATTTACCTTTCAGAATACTTCCTCGATGGACTTGCAGGGGTCTATTAATGCCAGGGCATACATACGATACATGTAACACTATTTATATAGCCGGACTTGAGTCCTGGAAATGGGAAGTACAATGCCTGCACTTTAAAGGAGGGGTTTAGGATATTGGCAGTTTTGGAGGGATATGTTGTGCATCTTTATATGTATATACTTCTAAACTGTTGTATTCTGAGCACCTCTGCAAAAACTGATTATGTGTGAGGTGAAAGTGTTGAATGATGATGAAAGTATTTTCTTTTTGGGGATTTTCTTTCTTTCTGGGTCACCCTGCCTCGGTGGGAGACGCCCGACTTGTAAAAAAAAAAAAAACACTATTAGCTCTGATCTTCTGAACCAGTAGCATCTCACTGTTCTGAGCATAGGAAACAAATTCTCTCATCACTTTTGGAATTTTTTTTATCCCGCCTTACTTACCCTGCTGGGAATACTTGTCAGAACATATTTGACTCTGTGGGGGTTTGGGAGGGAGGTCTGCTTTTATTTGGGAATGCTTCTTTATATTCCTTTTATGCTTAGATTTGGGCAAAATTTCCTAGCTGGGCTTTAAGAGATAGGGATCTATACAATATACATTGTAGTGGCCATTAAAACTATGAATGAATGTAGTAGTTCTACCCATAGCATTAGTATCCACAACTGCTGATGCAGCAAAGGCAGTTTAAAATTATGAACTATACAAAGTTCAAACAGCTCCAAAGTAGCAATATGAATTTTTCCTATTATAATAATCAGGATTGTAATAATTAAACTGGAATCAAGAGTTGAAATGGATGAAATGGACAAATAATTAATGCACTAAGGATAATGAAAAAAAAAATCAACAAAATAATCAGTACAGCTTTGTCAAGAGGTTCAATGTGGTATAAAAAAAAATGAGTAATATCACAACGAACCACATGATGACCAGTCAAAATTTTTTTTGTTTTATAATACGTCAGCCATTTCCCACCGAGGCAGGGTGACTCCAAAAAGAAAGAAAACCCCCCGAAAAAGAAAAAACTTTCATCATCGTCCAACACTTTCACCATCACTCATACATAATTACGGTCTTTGCAGAGGCGCTCAGATACAACAATTTAGATGTCCCTCCAAACAACCAATATCCCAAACTCCTCCTTTAAATTACAGGCATTGTATTTCCCACTTCCAGGACTCAAGTCTGGCTAACT